CAAGGAAGGTACGGCATTGCCAGCTGAAAGCCCTGAAGGGCTTGCCAAAGGCACAGGTACCACCTGCTGGTAGGGAAGCAGTCTCTGAGGATGGAACAATGAGTATACAAAAGTAAAGTGTGCTACCACTGGATGCCAAACTCACCCTCCAGTTTTTCAGACCAAGTAGGTGACTGGAAAGAGTGGCATATCAGATGGCAAAACAGTCAGTGAAGCCACAAAGTTTGGCTAACAGGAAGTATTACATGGGCAAGGAAGTCATTGGCAAATAACAGCTCAGGGGCTCCCAGGAAGAAAAAACGCGGCAAGGAACAAGCATACCAAGGGTTTGCATACCAGGGATGACTTTTTTAGTTTAGGCTTGGCTTCCTGAGTCCTTGAAGTAGCACAGTAAGGAGCAGGTTACTAGAAGGCTCATTTCTAGGACAGACTCCTGTACCTCTAGTGTTTTTGTAAAAACAGTCTGGTCTCCGACGCTTGCGCAAGACAGCAGCGTATGTACCTGTATTTATTACTAATGTAATGATGTTCCTAAGGATCACAGAGCAGTGGAGTTCAGAAATCCCTCCAGACATCAAATAAGCACCTTACCTCCAGCTCACAGAACAGCACAGGACTGCAGTAGGTTTCTCCCAGTTTACAGACGGCATTCGTCTCAATGCTGCAACAATTCACCCTGCCAACTACAAAGAAGTTTTTCCACATTACAAGCCCCATAATCAGCAATCAGTGAAGAAAAGTACCAGGAAATTCCACAACTAAAAAATGATCCACAGTTAATTTTGAGAGCACCATGGAAGGTAAGGCAACAGTGAGCAATACAAACAGAATGATAAGTGACTTGAACTTGAATTAGCACGAAAGTATTTCATAATACTAACATCAGGAATAGTATTGCCACATTACTGTTAATGTAACAGTTGGAATAAGGGATCAGTGCACCATCAGCACGGGTAGAATCTTCCACTTACTTATCAGAAATCCTGCTGGCTCATGTAATATCACAGAGTGGTCTTGTCACCAAAGAAATTCACTTCATCAGGAGAGCCACAGGACAAGACAATGCTAAGACTCCCAGAACTAGGCCTCCTGATCCCCAAACTCCAGGGACACAACATCTCTGTTTCAACACTGAGTAGTACAGTCTGGTCACTCCAGTTCCTCAGACCTGAAGCAGGGAGGGTACACAGGAAAGCACCCTCTCTCCTTGAGGCAGGGAGATAGAAGGATTAGAGGCACAACAGGGCCAGACAGTACACAGCAGGAATACCAGTCTTGTATTAAAACTATACTTAATAGTTTTGTAGCTCATCCATTTAGATTCACTTTATTATCACAGTATCATATGTTCCTCACTGCTCATTAAGATTATCATTAAGGCAGATCTGCAAGAGCAGATAGAACAGACTTCTGCAGGGCCACAGGAAAAAAGAATCAATAACACAAATCATATTCAGGGATTAGGGACAGAGAAGAGAGATCTGACTGGCAGAATCAAAAATGAGTGAGCATGAGAGAAGAGAACAACGTTTTATCTAAGAAAACAATAAAAAAAGGCAGCTGAGTTCAGACATAATTTAAACAAAGTTTTTTACAAAGCCATTGGTTTCCTTTGGTTTATTTCAAGTTAAGTCACTGCCCTGTTTTAAGAAAACTAAGAGCAAGTGGTGCTGTTTGGAGAGAAGGAAGAGGTGCCATACGTACCTCCAGTGACAAGAAAGCACACTTTCCCCAGGAAGAAGGAGGCATCCACATAAGCTAGGGAAGCTTCGACATTCTTCAAGCTGTCAGAAAAGTACAGACAATCCAGTTGGACAGGGAGGTTAACCCAGTGCAGCATAAGGACAACAGGAATAACTTTCAGAAGCACAATTAGAAAACCAGTGATGTTAACATCTGCTGATCTGTGAGCTCGCAGAGTTCTGCTCTATGCTAAAAGCATGACATCAGAGACCTCTGTAATACCCACAGTTGTTGAATAATCCATAACATATCCTTTCTACTCAAGACTCAACAGTTAGTCTTTGTTTGAACAGTGTCCTCCATGACTTGCAGACACTAAGCGTCCGAATTCATTAACATCCAATGAGATTCAGCACCACTTTGGCTCTTTCAGGAAGAGCTTGCCCACACATTTCTGCAGCACCATCTGTGCTGTAAGTATGCAGCTGGGCCTGTCATTTTTGGTAAATGAGAGCCCAGGATCATCAGTCACAAGTTAAGTAAGTAATAAAATGCTGACTTCTGTGCCTTAGCAAGTCTTTACTTATGGCCTGGGGACACAAATATCATTTCTACAAAGATAAGCACAAGATGATAGAAAAGGGATCAATCCCTGAAGACTTTTCTTTTTTGCCTAGAGACATCAATAGTGCTGATCCCAGGGGACCAGGAGGGTCCCCCTGTGAAAAGGGGACACAGACGCAGCAACTGTCTGGTTACCAGGTAGCACTGCCCAGTGCACATCAGCCATCTGCATATTACAGAACTTCACAGCACCACCATCATTTCCATCTAATTTTACAGACAGCATCTTTCTAAGGCTCAGTTCGTACCATCACATATCCTGATCCAGAAATAAATTCTGCATTCTCTGCTACGGCAACTTAGTGCACAACAGGCATGTTATTGCACAGAACAGTTCAGTCCTAATCCACTGCTGGAGGCCAGAAAGCCACTGTATACATTACTGAGCTCTTCCACCACAGCAAGTCTTGGGTTTGAAATTCACTATTCAGCAATTCCAAAACAGTAATGTAGATTCAGCCATTAATCCAAGAAAGAATATCAGTTCCCCCTCTCGTATTTTTGCCCTTCTTTTACCTGGATTTGCTCTTGATGTCAATCATAAACACAATCAGATCTATCCTGGGCCGAAGGTGATCCCTCTCTGAAGGTAAGGGGAGGGATGTAGCAATGTGACTGAAAGACAATAAATTTGCCAGTTTAACCAGATAGCTTGGCAAGACAGTATCCACTTATGCATAACCACACAACCTTTGAAGTTCACCGTGTAGCAAGTTACCAGGAAGCCTGCTAATTACTAAATACGTGGTAATTGAAGAGACAGTGATTTTTAAGTTGTACTCTCATATCGTAGGCACACTCATAGTTGCTGACAGCCACAATGGTAATCACTAGACAAGGCTCGTTATAATGGGAAGCTTATTAGAGCATAACAAGACTCATGGAAACATTTTTGCTGCACAGATCTGTATGGCAAGTCATTTTCTTTAATTGTCACGAAGAGTCCTTTCTAACAAAGTGGACCCCAATGCTTTAGTGGTATATTTTGCTGCCAACTTTCATTTAAAATGCATCAGTGCTTTCCTGTCACATTCCAGAGATTCTGCTCATATGCTCACATGGGAGAGGCTACCTTTCCAGGCACAGAAAAACCTTAAACCAGAAACTTATCACTACTACAGCTTTACAGATGAAGTTATAACTCAGAAAGAGTTGCTATTATACCATTACCCCCCTTTTTAACCCTTTTACTGTGCAGGAGCTATTAGGTTAGTTTAGGTGTCCTCTTACACAATACTACCGCTGCTGATACAGCTGTTGAAAGAAATACAGGGTGGGGACTTTTTGTGTCTCTTCCCACTAAAAAAAACAAACATCAAACAACCACAACCAACTAACTAACAACAACAAAAAACAAACAAGCAAACCAACCAACCAAAAACCCAACAAAAAAGGTTTCAGCAGTGCATAACTGGACCTTCCACAGGGAAGAACATTATCAGCATCTCATTTTTGGAAGATCACCTTAAAGACAAATTGGACAAACAAAAATCCCGGAAGTTCAGTCACTCTCACAATCCACTTCCTCTCTGGAAGCCAAGAGAGAAACACTGATTCTGATCTTCTTGGGGAATATTACTTCTAGCAATTCAATCTTAAGGTCTTCACAGTTTTCACCAGCAGCCACAAACCACAGTACACATTCCCTTCTATTAATCTTATGTAGTTTGTAGTTTTGTCTGCCAGTCTCCAAATAAAGCTGTTTGGTTTCTTACATATAAGGAAGGTACGATTTAACAAAACCATTCAAAAACTGACAGAAGAGATGAGCAAAGTGAGCTTGAAAGACACACTGCAACACAAACAAGTGTATTAATTTAAGGTGAAATTCAGGGAGACACTGTGGTGAAAACATCAGATCTCATTCTCTGGTGAAAAAAAAAAAGGAAACTGAAAAAAGCACTGCTTTTTTTTATGGAATTCTGCTATATTTAAACCAAAATGACTAGATGATGTCAGCAGCCTCCAGATATGTGCTGCAGAAACCCTTTTTTTCCCCAGCAATAAGAGACACAAAAAAACCCAGCCCTGCAATTCTTCTCCCAACAGCTGTACCTGGCAGGCAAACTTGCCAGACAAAATACCATATTTCTTTGTAATGTGTATAATCCCAAAGTAATATAGTGGGAGGGAAAAACCCCAAAGTAATATAGTGGGGGGGGGAAAAACCCAATACCACTGTAACGGACTTCGCTTTCATAGTGATATTAACACAGGGACTTATCTTGCTCTGTAGTACAAGCACACGATTCTGTGCCTTTGGGCAGTTACCCAGCTGTAGTACCAGCAGCCATCTAGTTATGGCATTCCACAGCTCAGCAGAGGCTGCAGGTTCCACACAGAAAATGGGGTAATTCATTTGCTATTAGTTGCCATAATCAGAGCAGTACAGTCGCCCTAATTAGCCAGTGGTGCAACTCCGCTCAGGTTGTTTTTACTGCATAGCCATGGATTACAGCAGCGAAATAACACAAACACCTTCTGAAGAGCTGACTAAACTCATTTGGTCTTGGCAAGAGAGCTGTCAAGGACATTTGATCACAAAAAGTTAGTTAATCAAGCTTTTAAGACAGCACTTGTCACACAGCTAAAGCTAAAATTTCAAGCGCATCTTAACAGCTCGAGGAGGAAAAGCACATGTGTGCACACAGCTTAGAAAATGGTTACAACGAGCACCAAAAGCACTGGACATCTTGTTTGATTTTAAGTACTTGCAAGCATTGTACTTGTCCCATTCTGTCACAGGATGTTCAATTTCTGTATATGCCTTTCTCTCAGGTGGGGAAAAAATAAATATCTGTGTTCCTCTCATACCCTTCCAATTTAGTAATCAAACATCTGTGCAGCATCTGAAGGGCAACGGTATGCGCATAGTGAACATGAACGTGGGAAGCGCTTCCACCCCCATTTCCAAGCATGCCCAAACCGCCTGCCCTGAGGGCAGAAGGGTTTGCCCGCTGTATATGTGGCCACATCTGGGCAGCGGTGCTCTCTAGCGTTCGCAAGAGAGAAGTTGCTCTCCCAACCGAGCGCCTTGCAGTTCCGACTACCGCCACGGGGGCGGAACCTGCATTTTTAACCAATTTCTGTGCGTGCATTCCTGAAGCAGAAGCCTTCCATGAATTCGGGTCACAGCCGGTGATCTGGGCCCCGAATGAGCCCGGGGCTGCAGGCGGCGAGTCCCTCTCCCCACTACTCACATGCTGATTTTGAAGTCCCTCTTCTCCTGGAGGATCGCCTCCGCCAGCTTCTGCTGGAGCTCCTCGTCCGAGCCCACCAGCTGCGGGCACAGACGGACAGCGCGGTCAGGGACAGACCCCGGCCCGGCGCCGCGGGGGCGGGGCCACACCGGGGCACATTTGCATATCGCAGTGGGGCAGCCAATCCCCGCGGAGGGGCGAGCCCGGCGCGCTGAGGCGCGGCCCGAGCCAGCGGAGCGCACGGAACGGGCGGGCTCGGACCGCAGGGCCTGGCCCAGGGACGGGGAAGAGGGGGCGGGCTGCGGCGCGGCGCCGCCGCCGGACCTACCAGGAGGGCGGCGGAGTTGAGCCCCGGGAGCTTGTCGAAGGGCCGCAGCACCGCCATCCCCGCCGCAGACGGCACCGCCCGCCCGCCGGAATTCAAACGGCGGCCGCGCGCCGCGCTGCCTTGACGTAGTGCGGGGGTGGGAGGGGCGGGGCTAACGGCGCGCGTGCGCGCTGGTGCCGGCGGGTAGGGGGCGGCGGCAGGGGGCGCTGCGAGGCTGGCCGGGAACCCACCCAGGGAATATCCTGCTGGATAGGGACCCGGAGGGGTCAGCTAGTCCAGCTCATGGCACTGCTCAGGACGGCCCGCAGAGTCACACCATGTGCCCAACAGCAAACGCTTCTTGAACTCTGCCAGGCTTGGTGCTGTGACCACCTCCCTGCAGAGTCTGTTCCTGAGGAACCTTTTTCTAATAGCCAACCTAAACGTCTGCCAGCACACCTTCAGGCCATTCCCGCGGGTCCTATCGCTGATCGTCAAAGAGAAGAGATCAGTGCCTGCCGCTCCACTTCTCCTCATGGGGAAGTTGTAGACTGCAGGTGCAGCACAGGCCCCGCCGAGCGCTCGGATACCACACGCTGGGACTGACCGCCAAAGATGGCTAATCACGGTAAAACTCTGCAAAGCAGCGGTATTTCTGTGGCATCCAGGTGTCCCAAGGGTCAGTCACGCCTGAGGCACCCAGGGGTGGTGCCAGGCTATGCTGGAGAGATGCTGAGGATTAGGATGGTGGCCTCACCTTGGCTGTCCAGGGGGATCATGGACAGCCTAAGCTTCTGAGGAGCAAAGCCCTTATTTCCAGGGCTGGGCTGTCCCCTGGTCCTTGCCATGAGCAGATGCCCATTCATTTGGTCAAGGGTGAACAACACCAAAGGCTTCAGTAAGATTCAACTGCCTCCTTACATTGCAGTTTATAATGTGAACTAATACATAGAATCATAGAACTGTTAAAAGGACCTCTAAGATCATCGAGTCCAAACAATGAACCAGCACTGCCATGTTCAAAACTAAACCACGTCCCCAAGTGCCACATCTACACCTTTTCAAACACTTTTGGGATGATGACTCCACCAGCTCCTTGGGCAGCCTGTTCCAATCCCAGACCACCCTTTTTAGTGAAGAAATGCTTCCTGATGTCCATTGTAAACCTCTACTGCTGCAACTTGAGGCTATTTCCTCTCATCCTGCTGCTTGTTACTTGGGAGACCAACCCTCACCTCACTACAACCTCCTTTCAGGTAGTTGTAGAGAGCAATAATGTCTCCCCTGAGTGTCCTTTTCTCCAGGCTAAACACCCCCAGTTCTCTCAGCCTCTCCTCATAGGACTTGTACTCCAGACCCTTCATCAGGTTCGTTGCCCTTCTCTGGACATGCTCCAGCACCTCAACATCCTTCTTGTAGTGAGGGGCCTAGAATTGAACACAGGATTTGAGGTATGGCCTCACCAGTGCCAAGTGTGAGGGAAGAATGTTAACAGAGTTAATACACTCATCCTATAAAGACTGCTTGAAGGAAGGGAATTTCCCTAACACTGTATGGCAGCAGCACCTGGATTTGCACACTGAATTGTTCTGTGCAAGGTTTTCTGGCAGCCCCATCAGCGTCAGCCTCCATCCTGCCCCTTCCTGGGCACCTTCTCCATCTCTTCCCTGGCTGGTCGGCCTCTGCCCAGCCCCACACTCCCCTGCCAGTGATACAGGTGAAGGAGCCCATGCAGAAGCACTGCAGTTATAGAGGCTGAGCTTTTCACTCCAAGGTCAGAGCAGGAGGATGATGTGCACTGATGTAAAGCCCTCAGAGGTCCATTGTACCTCGGTGGCCTGTGGTCCACCTTGCTGCATCTCCTATTCTTTGCCTCATCCCTGAGTTTGGCTACAAATTCTCAGTGTGAGAAAGGGGGTCCAGGACCCCTTCGGCTGCCTGCTGGTGCTGGCTCTCCCTGCCCCTTACACCAGGACACCTCCAAATGGCAGGAGACATGCTGGAGAGGGAAGAAGGCTACAGGAGAATGAAGACATATCTCCCCTTCTGCAGCAAGCTGGAGAAGGGAGATGAAGGGGAGGAGGTGGGTTAATGTAAGCTGACATCACATGACTGCCGTGGCTTTTTTGATCTTGACAAAGGCAGACGGTTTCACTCGTTGCCAGCATGAGACAAATTACAGGTGAAGCAGAAGAGATTATAGGATATTTCTGGCTGGTTTTGAGTTTGGTAGGGGGAAGGGAGGATGAATCCAGGGTAGACGTGTCCTAAAGATGGAAGGCAAGCAGATGCAATAAATAACAAGAGCCAGTTCCCAGGCTGGGGGGATGTAGAGCACAAAGGGGACAATGTTCCTTTCCAGCTGCTGAGAATGTGGAAAGATCTGGCACCCACCTAAAACATGTTTGTCCTCTTTCTGCCCCCTGCTACTCCCTGTTGCCTGCTCTCTGGCCCCACAGAAGGACCTGGGTGGCTTCAGTGTCTGGCTGGGGACATGCTCACTGTCCACTGTCGCTGCAGGGTTCTGTGGAGATTTAGTGGGTCCAGATGAGCTACCACTGATCCCACAGTTATTATTCCTTGTCCCCAGCAGGTTTCTTGGCTTCTCCTTGGCAGACTTACCTCTGCAGAGATGACACCCACTTTCCCATGGAAACACAGAGATTCATCCTGCTCACTCCTCTGTGCGCATCTTCACTGTGCCCATTTGCCAGGGGGATGCCTTCCCCCTCTTCCCCTTACCAACAAAAGATCCTTGAGTACACAGACCACCTCAGAGTGACTTGGAGCAGGGCAGTGGAAATGCTGATGGTCCCTGCCTCAAAGTCTAGGCTTTGGCAGAGCCAGTTTCCTCCTGGGATGCAAAACCATTGCCTAACAGCTGGCACAGTGAGCTAAGCCAGGCAGATTTGCTTTGCTTTCCTCCGTCTTTGAAATGCAGCCAGGGATGCTCCACAGCAAAGCCTGCAGTGCAAGCTCAGCTCAGTGGGGAACCAGAGAGAACAGGAGTCATCATCCTGCATCTTTGTTGGCTATTTACACATGGGCCGAGAGGTGTAAAACAGATCTAATGTCAAAGAGTAGCATTTAAAAACTGTTTTCATGGTAGAGGATGGTGTAAGGAGGTGGAGACTCAGGGTAGCAATGTGCCTGGATGAGACATGGTTAGTGTTGGAGGCTGGAGTGTATTTTACATATTACTGTGTGACTGTGTCAGGCTGTTTCACTTCTCACCACCCCATTTCCAGTTTGCAAAGTGGGACTAATGAGTCTATCTCTGCTTCTGAGTGGTGCAGGAGAGATAAGATAGATGTGTCTGTGCACTGGCCACCAGTGAAAGCAGAAGGACAAGACCGAGGCAGGACATGGAAATGGAGAGCTCCTGATTTTACTTTGCGGGCTGATTTTGCTTTGGTAGCACAAACTATTCCAAAAATAGGTAGAAGTGTATTGTACATGAAGATACTCTTGTGCTGCCAATGAAGGCAGTTAACGTCAGTGAGACTTGACCTGGCCATCACCAGTGCTCCCTGGGAGCAGGTTGCTCCTGGGGCAGTTGCTTCTGCAGCAGGACAGCACCAGCCACTACAAAAAATACTATACAGCACACCTTGACCTTGCGTGTCCGTGACCAGTTTGCTGTATGCCTCATCCAGTGGCTGCACCTCAGGATATCTCTCTTGGTTCTCCCTGAGCAGCCAGAGGAACGAAGGAGACAGGCTTTGGAGATGGTCTAGAGAAGAGCACTGCCCCAGCATGGTCCCAGTTATCTCAGCACCTGCTCCCAGACCTCCTGACAGTGGTGGCTTCATTCCAACCCCATTCAGCACAAGTTCTTGAGATGTAGCCTGGCCATGCATCACTGGCTCCAGGCTGACCTCTCTCAGTCCTTTCTGGGAAGCCTACATGATACGAACTCATGTGTATTTGATTGGATTTGTTCTCTCACTAATAGACAAAAATTATATAATTTGCAGCAAGTGCAAATTATTAGAGAAACTAATGGCATTTCCACGTATGTTGCTGGCAACTTCAGCTTCCTTTGGCAAAGACTCTTCCCAGGTATTGTTAGATCCAAAACAAGCAATCTTTTTCCATTCTGCTCTTTAACTTAACTTGCCATACACATTTCTTTAGCTTTTCGATCAACTCAGTTAAACTTCTCTTGTGGGTTTCCTTTTCTGAAGCTGCAGTAGCACCCAGAAGGGGGATTACTCTGCTTTCCCACCAGAGTATCCTTGTCTGATGCTCTGCCATGCATCCAGTGTGCCTTCTGCATCCTGCAACAACTCCCTCACCTCCAGCTGCTGAGCAAGGAAGCATTTCTGTGAGTCTTGCTGGAGTTTTGTCTTCTACTGTGGACCTTGGGAGAGGCAAGTTTAATAAACTCAGTCTTCTCCCATGCCTCTACCTACCTTGGGAAAGTAATATTTGGGAAATTGGTGTTACCTTAGACAGGCATCAACCTGTGTTTGATCATCTCAGAAAATGCTGATAAAAGCATAAAGGACACTAAAGAACAGCGAAGAAACTTGTTAGGAAAGACTAGAATAACACTTAACCACACTTAACACTTAAATGTGTGCCTGGAGTTGTCCAGCAGTCTCCTCTTTCTCCAGGCAGGGCTTTTGTCTGAGAAGGGTTTCATGATTTCTACTCTGGCTGCGTGGCCCTCTCACATCAAACCCAACCCCATGCTCACCTTCATCATGCAGGTGAATTTGTGGCTGCCCAGAGATATGGAGGGTAGTCGTAAGTTCAGTGGCAAGCAAATGTTCTGGGGCAAATGGCTATGAGGGGCTCATGTGTCCAAAACCACTCAGGGCCCTCCTCCAAGGCAGGTGGAGGGGACTGAAAGCCTCCCAGGCACTGGGCAGAATGATACGCACATGCTTACGCCTGGAAGATCTGAGTGGCACACAGCAGCATTATCTGAGGTGAAAGCTGAAGTGCAGCTGAAGCATTTCCATGCAGTTTGAACTGTACTGGCACGTCGATGACTGGAGCTGTCTTGCCGCTACAGCTCCTGTTGGAAACCAAGGGATGCGACAGCACCTGAGAGCCCCGTCACAGGCAGCAAGCAGCTGTGGTGGAGGCACGGGGTCTGCAAGTGTGTCCCAGCTCTGGCAGCACAAAGCCCAGTGCTTATTTATTCCTGCCTCC